AAAGTACGGGCTGATTATCCCTCACCCTGACATTGCAGCCCAAAAAGTGACTTTTGTGAATGAAGTGGCCTCTGATGTTTATGTTTTGGATTTAAACTCCAGTAACGGCAGTTTTGTTTGTTAACGTGGCCATTAAGGTAAAAATGTGCCTCATCCGAGAATAAAATGTTGTTGAAGGATGAAAATTGATCAACCATTTGGTTAGCGAAGTTAAGCCTCTCAGCACCATCAGTTGGCTTTAATTCTTGAACCAACTGTATCTTGTAGGGGTGAAGGCACAAGTCTTTACACATTATGCAATGTAGAGAACTTTTAGGAAGATTTAAGACACTCGTCCTTTTGGAAACAGGGAGAGTGGGAATCACTCTAACTGACTGGCATACACTCTCCACATTTTCCTCGCTTGTTGATGACCTTGGTCGCCCCGTCCAAGGTTTGCTCATTGTTGAACCAGTCTCTTCATTGAAATTTCTGTACTCATGTTTTGATGAGTTGAATACTCAGTGTTTCATTTACGTGACACAATCAATGAAGATTACAAAATTTTTGCCACACTATAATGGCAGAATTATTGTTTTTGTAAACTTGCAAGTGTAGCACGCATGCTCTGCTCCTGNATTCATGAAAGCCTTTACAAACACTATACAAACATCCAGCAATGAGTTGCTTAACTTTCCTAGCAACATTTAAAATTCTGTATGTGGTGCCATCTGTTATGATATTTTATTAAAAAATCTTTTTGTATTTTTAATTATTATAAAATAACAAAAAACTTCATTTTGAGGTTAGGGAAAAGTTTTATAAAAAATTGTAAATACTAATAATGAGTAAAATCATCATTAAATTTGACACTACTCAAGATATGACACAACTGCCCTTTATCTCCCCACCTTGTTGACCTTTAACCACAAAAAATTTAATAACATCAATTCCCTAATATAAAGCCTCCTGGCAAAATTTTAGGAATTTTTGACAGAAAGCATAGGAGTTATTAAGTTTCAAAGAGAGTGAACAAAATTGTGCTCCCACAACACACACACACAGAAATAACCCACAATTTCTTTGCAAATGCAATTCTTTGCATTTGCAAAGAAATTTCTCAACATTTCAAGATCCAACAAGTCCAAAAATGTAAAAATCTTGGGGGGTTATGTTTTCATCAATTGCTATACTTTCCCTCTGTTATATATAAGAGCCAGGAAAGTAAAATGGATTCCAGAATTGCTTTTACAAGTGGTATGGATGCTGGCAAAAATGTATAGCTGCAGAAAGAGAGATCCTATAGTTATTAATCAAAGACACATGATTGGGCTATAATTTGGAAAAATTGTAGGCCTAGAAATTCCCAGTCATCTGTCTGTCTTTCCTTAATCTCAAAAACAGAGTTAGATAGATGAAAGATGAGGCCAGATATTGAAACCTTAGGGGCAGGAGTGCCCAATTAACTATATGCGAACTTCCAATGCAAACCGGAAATAATGTTATTTGAATTCAAGAATTTACCCTTGAAATGTGTTAGATAGATGACCAGTGTGACTCTTGTTAAAGGAAAAGTATGATGATAATTGGTCACAATAAATAATTGCTCATTATACTTGACATCCACAACTCCATTTTCAAATTATTAGTAACAAAAACATACATTTTGTTTAACTTTCACTAAGCTATTCTTTGCTGAAGTATTTCATCCTATATTTAAATTTGAGAATTTAGATATAAAAAATTTATAAAAGAGTGAAAATATATTTTATTATTCTTAAAATTAACTAAAATTACTTTTTGACAATTTTTTATTGAATTTTTTTCATAAAAGTATTTGTGAACAACATGTACTGTACTGTTTGAACAAATATCTAGATTAGTGATCAGCCAAGTTGTTACTGTTGGTATACAATATATGCAATTAATCTTTGATAAATTAAAAATAATTTATAATTCATATTCTATCATAAATTACATGCCATTTTTAATAAGAAAAGATACTTGAATTGTTTTCATTATTTTTTAATATACCTATTTTAATTTAAATATAAAATTAATTAAGCATTAAATAAGTTTTAAAATGTTTTATTGAATTATTTTCATTAATTTATTAAAAATTAAATTAATAATAAAATTCATTTTATTATTAACAAGCAATTATTTATTGTGACATTGTCACAATTCCAGACTGCAATTTTTAATCATATTTTCAATTTATTTAATTTAAAATATATGCTTGCCACCTCAAATTAGTAGTGTCTTCATCCTATACATCATACTTTTCCTGTAAGCAATTGAGTCATGCCAGTCATATATCTAACTCCTTTCAGGGGAAAATTTTTGAATTGAAATAATGCGACTTCTGGTGCAAACCAGAAGTTTGCATACAGTTAATTGGGGTCTCCTATCCCTAAGCTTTCTGTATCTGGTCTCGGCTTTCATTTATCTAATTCCGTTTGAGATTAAGGAAGGAAAGACGAATGAATGACTGGAAATTTATAGGCCTACAATTTTTTCAAATTGCAGACCAATTAATTAATTTATTTATTTATTTATTTATTTAATCATCATATTTCCTCAATTCTAAGATGCATCTTGAATTTGAAATTAAATTTTTAGTTTTGCAAAGAGAAATTTTTAATAATCAATTTATTAAGTAGACAAAGTAGAAAAACAATTAAAATGTCATGAATATGTAATGTCCAGTAGTTGTACTTCCATGCCATTCTGTATATGCAATAAACTTTCTTTTAATGCTGCATCATAAAGTCATCTCAAAGACACTTTAAATATTAACATAGAGTTTAAATTAGATGCATATTACAAGCAAAATTTGTTTGCATTGAAATGACAGTTTGAGCATATAGCTAAAATGTCTATTATTGATGTTTAACGTATTAAATGATCTGCTCACAATGACTACCAATTATTGCTTTGGACTGTGAGATACCTCTCTATTTTGGGTAAGTGAAAAAGATTTTTTAAAAGTTGCAGCTTAGAACTGAGGAAATATGCATTTAAGTTATGAAATTATACTTATTTTTCTAAATACAAGGTGTCCCAAAAGTCTTTTCAAAATAAAATAAAATAAATCAATATTAAAATAATGTATTAGTTTAATTAAAAAAAGTAAAAAATGTAATAAAGTATTACAAAAAAAATTTTTTTGTAATACTTTATTACAGTTCCTGGGAATTTATTTCTTAAAGATAATATTGTCTAAATGTGTTCTGTTATTTCGCTGGCACACTTCTACATGGGAGGCAAAATTTCTGAGAACTGCTCAGCACGTGTTCGCCGTGATCGCTGCCATTTCTTTTCAGATATTTTGTTTCAATTGATCCAGAGAGGTAAGATTGTTGCTATATACCTTTGATTTAAGGTAGCCCCACAAGAAAAAATCCATTGGTGTCAAATCGGGGCTATGTGGAGGCCAGTTTATGCCACCTCGCCTGGATATCAATTTTCCAGGAAAAAGTTCACGAACAACCAGTATAGACATGTTAGACGTGTGAGACGCTCCATCCTGCTGGAACCATGTGTTTCCATTAAAACCAACAAAACCTTGCAAAGCTGGTGTGAAAAAGTTGTTAATTAGCTCTGCATATTGCTTCAAATTAACAGTTACTGTGCAATCTCTTTAATCTTCAAAAAAGTACGGGCTGATTATCCCTCACCCTGACATTGCAGCCCAAAAAGTGACTTTTGTGAATGAAGTGGCCTCTGATGTTTATGTTTTGGATTTAAACTCCAGTAACGGCAGTTTTGCTTGTTAACGTGGCCATTAAGGTAAAAATGTGCCTCATCCGAGAATAAAATGTTGTTGAAGGATGAAAATTGATCAACCATTTGGTTAGCGAAGTTAAGCCTCTCAGCACCATCAGTTGGCTTTAATTCTTGAACCAACTGTATCTTGTAGGGGTGAAGGCACAAGTCTTTACACATTATGCAATGTAGAGAACTTTTAGGAAGATTTAAGACACTCGTCCTTTTGGAAACAGGGAGAGTGGGAATCACTCTAACTGACTGGCATACACTCTCCACATTTTCCTCGCTTGTTGATGACCTTGGTCGCCCCGTCCAAGGTTTGCTCATTGTTGAACCAGTCTCTTCATTGAAATTTCTGTACTCATGTTTTGATGAGTTGAATACTCAGTGTTTCATTTACGTGACACAATCAATGAAGATTACAAAATTTTTGCCACACTATAATGGCAGAATTATTGTTTTTGTAAACTTGCAAGTGTAGCACGCATGCTCTGCTCCTGTAAAACGCTCCATAGCAACTAAATTCCCAAGGACGAGGCTAGCGATCAGCATAACTCCCATGCCCCTACTGTTGGTTGTGTTCACACAGTGGGTAAAACAAATTGAAAAACACTTTTGGGACACCCTATAATTTTAAGTTATTTTTTAGAAGTTTAAAGAAAAAACAAACACACTGAAGATTATATTTTATTAATTTTTAGTAAAAAATTTCAATCCTTCTTGTTTTAGATTATTCCTGATTAGATAATTCAGAAATAAATTATTGTCATCTAATGCACATTTAAATCTAAACTGATCATTTAATTTTCAGTAAACGAACAAAATAAAATTTTACTAATTGATTTGAGATCTTATGTATAATATTTGATATCTGAAACAGCTTTCTTTACACAAATTACAAGTCATATTTCATACATGTATAAGAATAGTAAAAGTAATCATTTCAATTTATTAAGTAGACTATAATGAGCAGAATTTTGATTAAAATAAAAACAATACAATATAAGTATATAAGTAATACAATATAATATAATAAAGATTTATAATTAAGTCATTATTACATTATTAATTAATTAACATTTTATCTCATTTATCATTCATGCAAAACAAACTGCAAAGTAAAGCAAAATAAAAAAGTTTAAATTTTGAAAATTTATAATTAATGTTTTGTAAATCAACCAAAAATATGCAAATTTTATAAAATTTTAATTAGTTAAATTCTAAAGTATAAATATATAAATGATACTTACCAACTAAAGCCAAAATAACAATTAAAAGAGGAGCAGCAGGAAAACTTATAGTAATGTTAAACTCTAGCATATGTAATAATTCCACTGTAAAAAATAATATACATACATATAAATTTATTTAATTTACAAGAAATGAATTTATAAATTACATATAAAACTAAAATTTATTAAAACTGAGTACTAACAATGCAATAAAACAATGAAAATTTAATACAAGATAGCAGTGTAATGGTCAAAATTTAAGTACTAGTACAGTCGACCCCCCTATAATTACGGTCCCTATAGTTACGATTCCTATAAAACTACGAAAAAATTGCTACCGGTATCCGTAAAAAATAGTAAAAGTTCCCTATAAACACCTCAAACGTCATCGGGAAGCCGAACTACTTTCCCGCCGTCCGTAGCGCCACGCTACGGAGAGATTTCTATCGTCTGGACAGTATTATATAAATTATATATAAATTAGGTACTGTACATATAATTATATATTAATTATATATAAATTAGGTACTGTATATATAATTATATATTAACTTATTGTAACTTTGTTATAATTAAATATATAATTTCCGCCGTCTAGCGTGGCGCCACGCTACGGAGATTTTTACGCTAACTATCGTCTGTCAGTATGTAAATTAGGTACCGTAAGTCTAATACAGTACTGTAATTTTATACATTTCTTGTGAAAGAAACATTTCTTATTCAACGGCGATTAAAATTATTTATATTAATGATGTCTCCGAAGTTCTACGAAGTTTTCACAGAAAAATAAGTTGTTAGAAATCGGCCGCTCTTTGCTGAGCTGTTCCGCGACGAAAACAATGTTGAGCAATGGCAATGTCGAATGGTGACACTCGGTAAGTAATCCTACAATTTTTTGTTTATAGCGTAGTTTATACGGATTATTCCCAAAAAATATATACGTATTTTGGAAATGTTGAGGCGGATTAGTCTAGAATCGATTAATTTTATGGAAGAAAATCTTTCAAACAGCCGTAGTCCGTAAACTTGACACGTGTCGGGTTGTGATTGGAAGGATTCGTAAGAAAGCGGATTCCTAGAGAATGGAACGTATCTCTATCTTGTAGGGGGGTCGACTGTATATATTTGTGTAATTAATAGACCAAGTTCTAACCTGATAGTTAAATTCAATTACTAATATATCATTTCATTAATAATGCAATTTAAATAGAAAAAATAATAATGCAATTTTGAAAATGCATATTAAACAATAATTTTGATTTTTATAATTTTGATTCAGCAGGAAAATGGGCAATTATAAATAGTTAGTTAGTTATTAACTTTTGAATACTTATTAACAAATTTTCATGTACAAGATTTCAAACATAGTTTGTCATTTATGTTCTGAAGATGACATCACTCAAGTGACCTTTATTCATGAACAGACACTTTGTATGCATCTTTGAAATATGTCATGTATAGAACAGTGCAATGTATTCGTGACTATATATTGCATGGGAAATTTCTGCCTTAAGAATTTCAAAATTTTGTGGATGACCTTCATGTATCACACACTGTTCACAAATGGTAAACTATATTGTTTGAAATCTGTAAAATAAACATTAGTGACATTATTGTACAACTTGTCAACATGATATTACTATTTATATAATGATGAACAACATCTAGTTTATTGTTACAAAATAGATTCTATAGTTGCTTACAGAATCTATTTTGTCATCATAATTATTTATGATAAACAAATGAAAACCTAGCAATATGTTAGCAATAAAAAAATTCTGAACCTGTTTAAATCTAAATGACTCCATCAAACAAAATACATAAATGCTAAAATATTAAGGAAACCTTAATATTTTATCATTTATGTATTTTAATATTCTCATCATGCACTTTTAATGTAACAACTTATGGTGAATTTTAATTTTATTACTAATATTTTAAAACATGAAACAAAGTATCCAATGAGAACATAATATTCAGATAAAAAGAACAAAATAGTCTTAGTCCAGACAAGTGTGGGAAAAGTGATTTATTTATTCTTTTAATCTTTTTAACTTAAAAATATATACTATCTCTATTACTATGTATGTAATACACTATTTATATAGTTGTATAGTATTTTAGCAATTTTTAAGAAAGCCTCTAAAAGAAAAAATCATATACTGTAGAGAGGATCAGTTTATGCAAAACATTGTTGAAAGAATTATCAAATCACATTCTACATACAGACTACATAGTTTCATTTGATGAAATGAATATTAAATTTACAAGTTATTTATCATATTCATTTCATCATCATATAATATAAAATTTTTCTGTTCCTTAAGATTAAAAATTAACCCAAAGAGAAGATTTTAATCATATTTTAATCTGAAAAAAATATCTTTATCAATACTAAAAAAATTTCACCAGAAGAGTAGATACTGAAAGCTGAAACAGGAACTTGTTTTAATCAAGCAGTACATTCAATAGAGACAGCATTATTAATTTCAGAATATTCTTAACTTATTAATTTACTTTTTACAGAAAAGTATTAAAAGATTTAAATCTGATGTTATGATGCTAATGAAAAATCCAGTTTATTATTTCATTAATATTTTATCTTGTAAATGTAAACAGAAGTTACATTTACATGTTTTATATCTAATTATTAAATTGATTGAAATCAAGATTTTTAAATGATTCAAAAAACACATAAATTGTACTTACCAATAAAAAGAAAAATCTGATGATGAGAATATCTCAACAGCATAGATATTGAAAGTGTCTTTAAAGAAAAAATTTAACAATAATCAGTTTTATATATTAAAATAATATGTATTATTTATACTTTTATATATTAATAAATAGCAAAGAACATTTTTAACGTACTGTTTGTCATTTCTTGTCTATATTAAAAGCATAACAGCCAAAAAACAAATTAAAACTATCCACCCAGGTGTGAATCTACTCAGATGCCTAAGAAGACCCACCCAAGGCACTAAGAAAACATTTACAATTAAAATATAAAAATCGTCACACCGGAAATAGGTTCTAGGAGTATGACTTTTTAACACATCCTGGTGTTAATGTGGTTGATAATATAAAAATGGTTATACAGTATAAAACAAGGATAGAACAAAACAATTTGTTTCATTCATATAATACATATAAAAGCAAAATTACATTTATCATCATTAATTAATTACTTTTTATGTATGTATATTTGAGAAGGATTAAAGTTTAAATTTTAATTTAATATATAAATAGTTTTCATTAGAAAAGATTATATGCACGATAGTTCATTATAATGTGTTTATGTATTGAATATTACAAGAATATAGAAAATCTATTCTACAAATATGATAATTTTTTTTTGTATTTTCTACTTATACTGTATATAAAGCAGTAGAGAACAAAATTATGAATATTTTACCAACATTAATATTGGCAAAATTGATTGGTAAACAATATATTATTGAATGTAGTCATTGAATTATTTCAAAATTTCCTAAATAATTATTGACTCTTTTCACAAGTATCTTTATTCTTTATTTTACTTTAATTAAATATTAATTAAATGTTTATTAAAGATATATTGAGTCTATGCATTTTAATAAACATTTAATTAAAATAAAGATTCTAGTCAAAAGATTCAATAATTATTTAGGAAGCTTAGAAATAATTTAATTACTCATTATTATTGGTAAGCTTTTCAGAATTTTGCTCTTTCTAGTGCCTTATACTGTACTTGTTACATTAATCCTATAATATTGCTATCTGCTATAAATATTTGATGAAATGTTGTGCAGGATGTTTGAACAATATAAGGTAAAGTGTTTCCAACTGAGTTGCTCTGAGATTGTTGATGTGAAGTTCTATGCAAAGTGTCTCAACCTGTCAAATCCTTTTTCCATTGGGCCTTTTCAATTCATTAATTTAGTCTTAGAAATCAAATCTTATTGGCATCACCTGAACTTAGATGACATAGCAATACCTGGATTAGTCCCAGTACTTGGTTATATTTAATTAATAATTTGATGATATCTCAATTTTGTTCTCTTGTATCAGTACATCAGGAATTTGGTTATCTTGAACCTTCAGGAATTTCATGAACAATGAAAATGAAATATTTTTAATAATTTTGACAATTGTGGAGACCAGGTTCACACAGTATGTATTTAATGTTACATAGTACTTAGTTCTGTATTTATTCATGTAGTTATTTTAGTATGTGAAATTATATATTGCTGTGAATTTGTTATACATTATTTTTATTTATCGAAATTTAAAATTGAACACTTCATTTGAACTTCTTTGTTCAAATGAAGTGTTCAATTTTTTCAAAATGAAACTATTACGTACATTATACTTACAATGACCATATTTTTTTGGGGAAAATAAAGGACATATCGATGAAAATCAAAAAATACCTTATAAAATTCATAAGTTTATAACATTTATTACGAAAATAGTAGCATACAACAATGCATACATTAAAATTTTAAACAATCTGAATTATTACACATACACACATTGTAAAAATTTAAACAACATTAATTTTGATACTTTTCAGTAGAATTAATTTTTTTATATAGCGCCGTTTTACGCTTTAAAGTCATA